GTGTCGATTTGGCAGCTATTAATCTGGATGAAAGGTCTGTCCACAATTTTTCACTGACTTGTGAAGAATCTATTGTTCAATGTTTGCATTGATTGCAAAGGCATTTGTCATTGTTTTTAATTTGGCCTATTTGATGCATGGTTCCAGTTTTATCTTGTTTTGAGTGGATGTATTTGAGATGTGTAAATCAATGACTATTAGCTTGTGTTGCGCAGCTATATCTTCTCCTAGGATGACTTTGCAGTCTATTACATCTTTTAATCTTCTGCGAGAGATTAGCATGTAATCTATTTGTGTTTTCCTTGTACCACTTTCTTATGTTATTAGATGACTGTTTTTTTCCTATAGTAGGTGTTGGAAGGTCGAAGGCTTGCGCAAATTTCAGTACATGCTCTCCTTCATCATTTTTTCTCCATATCCAAAACCACCATGTTGCCTTTTGTAGCTATCTCTTGCTTTCCCCACAGGCGCATTTAAGTCGCCACCAATTATGACTAGGTCATCCTTATGGATTGCATTACAGCTTTATCAAGGATAGCTCTAAAGTCATCTTTCTCTTCTTCCTTGCAACCCGTTTGAGGAGCATATACTGAAAGGATATGTAGTATTGAATGACCAATGCAGAGTCTTATCTTCATTAGTCTATCCGAGATCCTGTTGAAACCTCCATCGATAAAATCTAAGGCTAAATCAAAACCTTAGAACTAGATACCGATAAAGAAGCAAGGTCTAGTTTCTCACATACAGCTATCCAGAAATCATCGGAAACTAATGCTGATAATAGAAATCCTCCTAAATTATATATGATGATGGTTATATATCTGGCACTGATCCTTCATCCGAAGTACTGAAGGATAGTTAGCAGAAGGGTTTAAGCCAGGCATTCCACAAGCATCTACAATTCAAGAAGGAACACCTAGCCCGAAAATGTTACCTTCAACTCCAATAAAGATATCGGCGGGGCTTTCACCCTACGTACCCTTGCCATTATCTAATAATTCTTAATTCAAGTTAGACAAGAAACAGAAGTGCAAACTAAAATTTAACTTCCACATCATCCTACTCACCACCCAAAAGCAATGCGACTTGATCAACTAATATAAGAAATTAAATTATTCTCCGCCATTTCTAAATTGGAACGGAATTTAAGCTTTGATTATTTACAGCCCAGATCGATATGTTTAAAACCTTGTCATTTATATAGTTTTAAGCTAATTTAGATTGGCCTAAAAAAAATCTTTCAACATTCAGCTTTGTGTGATAAATGTGGATTGGGAAAAATATGGAACTATTTGTTTGGCTAGGATATGTGATATTATTGTATAAATTCAAGTCATAGTAATTTTATGTGTTATTTGATTATTATAGAGTTATAAAACTCCTTTAGTAAGAAAAAATAAAATAAAATTAGATATTCGAATTGGAATACACGAGTCGTGCGAACTCGAACAGACATTTCCTCGGATTTAGATCATAATTTTATAACTTATTTCTGAATGGAGTCGGATCGTCACAAAATTTTTAAATTATTTTGTTATATCTTTTTTAATGTTTATTTTCATGAATAATCTATTTCGAGAATAGCTATAAAATTTCATATTATCTTTCAGCGGCCTTTCCAAAATCGTTGTATATTTGAAACATTATAGGATCTTATCGTATCGATTTAACTAAAAAGAAAGGGCCCAATGCATATTTCTAATTTGAAATCCTGACTTTTAAGTCTAAATCACAACTCTGAAAGTATTTTCAATAAAACATACGGCGATTATGTACTAGATAGAGTAATGATAACTCTGCAATATATTTTTAAATTCTTTTTATCAAAATTGTTTTGGTTTTAGATGGATTTTAACTTAATGATTTATTTTTTTTTAAATTAAGATAAAATTTTTGTTTATTGCAGCAAATAAAACAAATTCTAATCATAACTAAATTATCAGATTTAAGTAATTTAATTAATCTCGCAATCGAATTTTATGAAATTAACATCAATTCTAAAAGATTCTAGGTTCACATCTTTGTTATTGTTATTGAGTTCTTGTTTCTTCTAATAACTACCTACATAAGATATTTTTATTCATATATATATATATTTAAAAAAATTTAATTCTTATTTAAATTTTAAAATTTTCTTTTGTTAATAAATTTATATTAAAAACCTTAAGAAAAACAATGCTTAAGAATATCTCGCTAACTCTATTATGTATTCTCCTGATTGGTAAGTTTATTAATTGATATAGTAAAAAAACGGTATTATATAACTGCGTGTTTTAGGTTAATGATGCTTACTACCAAGTGAATGTATGGAAATATTATAAATACCAACATAATTTGCTAAATACCGACCAAAATTTATTAAAATGTAATAAGACTTATTATTTAATATATTAATATGGAATCACGTGGTCGAGTCCGGCCTCCTATATATCATACCCCCAAGGATGGAACCACCAAGTTAGAATAAGAAAAAAAACATAATTATTATCGGGATTTGAACCCGTGACCATGGGATGAGTAAGCGAAGCTCTAACCGACTAGACCATAGAGGCTTTCCAAAAATTACGATTTTTCAAATATATATTATAAATATATTTGGTAGTGCCTATCCAAATGAAAATAAACAAAATTCAAATTTGATAGATGGTACCTTAAGGTACCAAGCATCATTATGTTTTACAGGCATGAAATGATGTAACAAATTTAGAAAATAAACTAAAAAATAATTCAAATATTAATTCTCTAAAAAACTAATAAAAATATTGTACTTTTTTAATAATATATTAAAACATTTACTATTATTTTTTTGCTATTAGTATAATAATAATATATATTATTTTTGTAATTTTAGTATAATTTTTAAACAATATCAAAATAAAAATATATTTAAAAAAACAAATAAGAATATATTAAAAATTATATGAAAAAAAATATATATAAGAAATATTTATAAAAAACATTACAAAAGAACTCTTTTTAAAAAAAGGGAACATGTCACCGTAGAGAAGAGTGAAAACCTAGGAAAATTGGACCGGAAAATTTATAGAGAAATGTAAAGACGAAGGTAGAATCCTTCGTTGAGTTAACCGTAGTCTGTAATCTGTATTCTTTTTTTTGCATATGATATAGAAGATTATTTCCAGCTGTTGAGGACTATTGGCATGAAGAATATAAGGACTTCTGTCATTTCAATGGGAAAACAATTAAAGTGTCAATTTCTTTAAATATTTTCTCGTCAAGATTATTTTATGGAACACGATTAATAATCACCTACTATTATATAAAATTGAAAATAAAAAAAAAAATTATAAGTTCTCATGATCATATTATTAATTAATTTTTATTGTTACTAATTTAACTTCATCTCTAAGATTAAGTGATAAAAAAATAGAAAACTGTCGAAGAAAAAAATCAAGTCAATAGGCTAATCATTTTGTTAATGTTCCATTATATACACCTAGTAAGGGGAAATTTAATTTGTTATAAATTTTATTAGAAAAAGTATTTTGTAAACTATTCAGGACCACCAACTCAAAATATTACCCTAAAGCTGATTTATTTATATTATTTTTCTAGAAACCTATAGATAATTTAAGTTTTAAATAGCATTTTATCACTATTTTGTTTTTAGTGAAATTCTTTGACTTCTACTTAATAAAAATTGTTTATTTTTTACTATTGTGGTTAAAATTTCTATATTTTTATTCAAGTGTGAACAATCCATTTTTTGTTACTATTAAAATAGAAAATGGGATTTGTAATGATTGAAAATAAATATAATATTTTTTGTCATTTATATAATTTATATATAAAGTAGCTTGAATAAAAAGTAATAGTGAACTTTTTCAAATATTATTAAATAGATAGAACCAAAAAATATGTTCTGATAGTGATGGAGGGAGGGGGAATAATAGGGAAACTAAATTTTATAATTAAAACAATATTCCAAATATATCTAACAATCTGAAAATTTAAAATATTTACTTCAGACGCCCGTCTGACTCCCTATAATTAGCAAGGTTTCACCTTACATCAGGACTGATAAATTTTAATTTACAGATATAATCTAATTTATTAATTTTCTTTTTTTCAACAAATTTTTATTTAAAATACCATAAAGATAAAAAACTATATTAAAAATATAATTTTATAATTGAGTTCCCAAAAATGTCTAAAAATTTATATTTGAATTTTTTGGGCCATGTATAAAAATTCTTTGGCTTTGTTTGAAAAAACCGGATTTTATTTCCTAGATTTTTTAAAATATATTAAAAGCGAGATATAGCCTTTTGTGAAAGTAACCATAGAGTCAAAAGGAAGTTATTAAAAATTTTGTATTTGTTAATCTTTTTTTGTTTCTGCTTATATTTAGTAGATTGATATATAAAGTCCCCTATTATTGATTTTCCGGAATTCAAGGTATTGTTGACCAATTATCGGTTCTAAATCATCTACTTGATGTAAATTTGTTTAGAAATATAAGCGGATGTTAGATCTTGATATTACATAATTTATTGCTAATGCTATGTGATACTACTGGTGTCTCACATGTCTAACTATACAATTAGACCTAAACCTATGGCTACTTTTAAATGTTTCTCTGATAAGAGATTACCAAGGTTACGACTAGGGAGTGATTCTAACTATTCATAATCAGCAAGTCAGTTGATGATTGTAGTTAAATGCAATCTAAAGGTGGGTGGACTAATATCCGTTACTTTGAAAAAGGTGTTAAAAAAATTGTGATGATTGATGGTAAATGAGGTTCATATGAAGTCTGAAATAAAGGATTGTTTATCAACCTGGATATATGATCATAATAAGGATAAAAGATTCAGTGGCAAAAAAATAAATTTAGAAAAAGGAAAAACTAGAATTAAGGCCTCTCATATATCCTTCATAATATTTACACCTTTAAAAATGATATATCTTTATTTTTTCTTTTGTAAATTATTACCAATTACGACGCATTTATTTCTTATTGACATTATTTTCTGCGATTAGGTAGCACTTTTAAAAACAGATGATTTCACTACCAATATGTGGAATATTTGCAGGTTGCGCCTCTAATGTTGTATTTTTAGAGTTATTAACAAAGTTTAGCGTATTTTAGGGAAATTATAATATATTTAAACTATTTAGATCGAATCCTGGTTCAGGAAATCTTATTACCTTTGCACAATTTCTCTTTATTGCAGTAGAGGGATTTATTTTTAACCGCAAATTCGGGATGAAGGCTCGTGTAATACCATTAAAGTATTTATCAGATTATATATAAGAATAATTATATTTTAGGCACTATGGTTTGATGGTTATAATGTTTTTCTCTTTCAGTTTAATTAACAATTATGCACTCAATTTTAATATCCCGATGCCACTTCACATAATTATCAGATCAGTTAATATTTATGATAATTTTTATTCTAAATTGTTCATAATAGGGTTCACTAGTTGCAAATATGATATTAGGTGCCTTCATTTTAAATAAAAAGTAAAAATTTGTAAATACGAGCTTTAAATATATATATATTCCTCTTAGATATAGTTATCAAAAGATTATAGCAGTAATTATGATAACCATAGGTATATGCATATTTACATTTGCTTCTGCAAATAATACGGTAATTAATTGAAAAATTATTTTATAGCTATATGAATTTTAGATAAGAGAGGCAGCTAACACAAAATCTGACCTTGAAGTAAGGAATCATACCATGATATTATGTATAGGTTTGTATAAATACTTTCATTCATTTTTAATATTCTTCTCTAGCCATTTATTTTAATATTATTTCAGACCCTCAGGAACCCCCTCCAATCAATGATTTATGAATACTTATAACTATAAGTGAACCCCTCCCCCCACTTCTCCAATATCAATCCTGCATCTCATGTTTGGGGCTTATTATATTATATAATTCTGTGAAACTTTTCTAGCAAATGCATTACTATGAATAACAATATTAAAAAAATTTTTTGGTAATTATATTTCCCACACAAATGTATTACAGTATATAAATATAATATACCAATTCCCTGCATGAATACATCTAATCTAACCAAACTTGGATTGGTCAAACTCAGACTTGGTCAGAATGAGACTTAAATATTGGTATCGGATTGTCACCTATAAAAAAATATTGGATCAGCCAATATTTTTTAAAAATTTACCAATATTTTATACATTTTTATTCACATTTTTATCTTCCCTGTTTTGTTAATTCTTATAACTCCCATAAAAAAAAATAGCTAAAGGCACCACTCATAAAATAAAAAAGTTTAATATTTAAAAATTTTTTTTAATCATAGATGAAGAAGTAAAGTATATTTCAGGGTTGTGCATTTGGCCTGTCAAATATGGTCAAATTCAAATAAATGTTTTTTAAGACAATATTAATTCTATTTTATATATAATAGTAAAAAATGTATGTATATTAAATTATTTTCTAAATTCTATAATAAATGCTTTGCCCTTATGGCAGAGCCTTGTTCTAATTTATATTCAATCTTATCATTTTCTTTAACATTTTTTAATCAATCTTAGGTTATGATATACTGGTTGTCGAGATCTTCAATTGAATTTCTTAGATACTTCTTAATATTCAATGTGAACAAAGCCCATTCCAACAACTTGAGCCCAAAATCGGATTGTTTTTTATGAAAGTGACTGGTTTCAACATATTTTGGCTATTAAATACTTTACTTCTGAAATTTTATTTTGATGATCATCTCTTTATTAAGCGACTAATTTTTGTATTACGTCATATGCTTAATCAAATTAAAATAAGATGCTCCCCTTATATTGGGAATCCAATAATTAATCAGCAGTGCAGTGAAAGCACATGTATTTGGATTGTTTTCTTTTTCAAACTTATCTTTAATATTTTTTCTTTAGGTTGGTAAATTATAAAAATGTGATTTCTAAAATAAACATCTCGTTTTTTCATAAACCCAAGGTCAATAAGATAGCTAAATGTTTATGAATAGTTTAAAATTTTAAATTTTTTGTCCAAAATATTATTTAATATATTATTGATAATTTCTCTCGGACAAATATCCAACTACTTCAACAGCTGCTTTCAGTGCTTTCTTGCATATTTATATTTGCTCATTACATTTTATTTATGATGCCCATCTTGTTTGGATAATTGCACGTAATGTAAAAATTGGCAATTAGTAATTTTCTCAAACCATGCTTAAGTAAAGATTTTATATTTATTTGTATATTTAGATCCAATCAAATTGATAATGGGAAAATTCTTTTTTTTTACATATTTAAAATTGAAATTCTAATATTTTAATAAGAAAATTTTATATTTTTATATAAAATTATAATTAAATCGATGCCTTGATGATACAAATATATTTTAAAATAATTTGTAAACAAATTAGATTGATAAATATGCTTTAAATACATGTTAGTTCATTAAATAAATATAGTTATTCACCAATAACATTTTAGAGTATTTGGCCGTATTTGAGCAGGTCAAATACTCCTTCTGTCAATTGACCGGTCAATTGACTGAATTTGACCGGTCAATTGACCGAATTGCCAACCCTGATATTAATAAACTAGAAAATTACCCAAAATTTTTGTAAAATTTTGTTTTTATTAACAAAAAACTTATAGTAAATAAAAATTATGCGAATTTAAATCATTAATTGACAAAGATATCAAATTTGATCTCCAGATTTTAATTATTTTATTAATTGATAATGATATTTAATTTTTTTACTTTTTATTTAAATAAAGATATAGCTTGTTATTCAGAAAAATTTAATATGAACATATATACATATATAGTGTTCTATATAATATAAATTTATGCTTATTTATATTAAGGTTAAAATAGGTGAAAATTCTCACCGTCATTAAAAAAAAAATAATAATATGGAACTTGTATTTATAATTATTCTTCGAATTTAAAGATAAGACATTATTTTTAGAATTTCACAGCTTTGAGACTTTTTGATATTTTAAAAAATATTATACACCGATTTTTATTATATTCCATTATCTTATATTATATAAAATAATGACAAATTTTTTTATATCAGAGCCGTTTAAAATATATATCCGATTGGTGAAAAAGCCCTAAAAAAATAGGGATGTAGGTGATGGGGGGGGGCATTATTAAGTGGAGTTTCCCACCTAAATTTTATTGGAGATCTTTAGGTCCACTTATTGTAAACATTTGGCTATTAGATTTTTTATAAAAAATAATTTTGGAGGTTTCACTTTTTTTAAAGTATTTTGAATAAGAGACCTTATTTTTAATGAGTGAGATGGGTAGTGGTGAAATTTTTATTAGCATAAAATGATATTTACTAGAACAGTCATATTATGGGGGGGAGGGGGGGATTTCTTTTTTCCATTCCCCCAGCTGTAGCTATGATCAAATTTTAAAAAAATTTATCACACAACATCACTTAACTCCTTATTTAATATGACTGCAAATGTTCTTACATTAGAGGTAGTCATGGACTGTCCTCACTCAACTATCCTAAGAAATTTTTGATTGGGATTTTTGGTCTGGCCAAATCGAATCTTTTCGTTCAGCGCAAGCCTTACATATTTTGGTTAACTAGGCATGGAAACATATCTCTAGCTTTATTGCTCCACCTGGTTGCAAGCTGCACTACAAACCAATAATGGTAGCTTTTGGCATATGATTGCCAATTTCTTTTATCCATTTGTTGTTTTATCGTTTAACTCCCTTCCTATATTTATCGCCCAAGATATCTGGAAAAAGATGATTGTCTAACCAACCTTCTTAAGTAAAGAGAACAACATTTCAATGTTTGTTGGGTTTACTGGTTACCTATATTTGACTCTGCTAGGGAGTCTTTTTATTTATTTATTTTTTCCTTGAATTAACATATTTATGATGATGAATTTGTTATGGCCTTGCACTAACCGAAGAGATGTTCAGTCTTGCCTAGCTCTCTGCTAACCATGCAAGGGCTCTCCCCGTTCCAAGTATAATAAATAGCTAGTTTGATACCTATGATTGACAATACAAATAAGTAGGGATCGCACTCCCACTATCAAGGTAACCAGATCTAATAATTTCACTGTGATTCAAGGCCAGGCAATACCAGGTAAAATACTCATCTAAAATGAAGCATATAAAGACTTTATTATAAATGATTGAATGAATAAAAAATATCTGGCAACCCTGCACACACCCCAGTCGCATCTTATACAATTCTATAATTAAAAAAGCCAAAAATCCAGATCTCTCATTTGGAACCCTTGAAAAGGATGAAGGCTGTCTCGAGAATCCTTCGGATCAGAGAAACACGTTGATATTCTCACTTACTATACACTTTTATTCCAATGGCAGCATTCACTCTAAAAACTTTCAGATCTCTTTCACAATTAGATTTTGGAAATATCATCTTTGTCAAAGTTAAGGTTACTTAAACCAAAGGAAAATTAATTTCCATCTAAATTCATAATTGTGGATTATCTGAGGATTATTGATTTTTTTTTGTATCCGAATTCTCTTAATATCACATGGATATTATATTTAAACCTCTTTTTCATTTATCATATCCGACTAACATATGTTCTTTTATTGTTATGTTTTTTTTTATATAATCATATATTTTGGTATGTTTGATGAATAAATAATGAATGCATTGTTATTAAGTTCAGCAGCCCGTATATAAATAATGTTTTTGCATTAATTCACGTGGCATGTTCACATTTGTTAAAACTTACTTTATTGGGTTGCCTCAAAGCCAATAAATAGTTGTTTCAAAATATATACGAATTTTTGAATGACAGGATTGGTACAGAGATAAAATGATCTGTATCTAGGCCATCCCAAAACTGGATTCGACGCCTTCACATATTTTTTTCCAGTTCTAATTTGTTTTGGTGATATTGAAACGCGGAATTTTAAAATAATCAAAAAAAACGCTTTGTGAAAATTGTCTCATATTGCGAATAAAATTATTTTAACTTGCAAAATTAATGGTTAAGTTTAAGGAATATAAAATATGTTATTTTAACAATTTTTTTGCAGGTTAAATAATTATATTTGTAAAATATATTCAAGAAGAAAAAAAATTATAGAAATGTTTTCCATATAATCTGCTCAACACCATAATTTTATTCATGTTACTCATTTTTTTTAAAACCTAATTTATAAAGGCGTGTGTTTATTGGTGATCGCACTTTTGTTATCGGCGCTGACTGGCTTGTATCAAGAAAAATTATATGACAGATTTGGTAAGCAGTCCAAAGAAGCTCTATTCTATTCGGTACAATTATACTATAAAATATTCCTCGGAATAGAGTTACATAGTTAATTTCTTAACCTCCCCATTTTAATGGCATGCGCTTTTTTTTCGGTAGTAGGATTATGGGTAGTGTTGTTAAATTGCAGAGTTGTTAAAAGATTCTTTTTAAATGGATCTAGATACAGATACATCGTCTAAAATAATATCTAGATACCGATATTTTAATCAAAAATCTATCTAGATACAGATACAGATACCACATTCTAGATACTTGTATCTAGATCCTTTAACAACTCTGTTAAATTGCATAACTTTGACTAGCTCTATTGCGGCTTGGTCAAGCTTTTAGCCTAAAAAATTTGAATTAAGCTTTCTAAGTTGAGTCTAAACTTGAAGATTGATTCGAATATTTTTTAAATAAAAACATGGCTACGCTGTTTTATCGTTGACTAAAGTTAGGTAGGTAAAAATGCCATTTTTAAAATTTAATGATTCATTTTCTAGGGACGAAGAACGAGACGCCATTTTTGCTTCACTTCATTTTATCTAATAAAAATTTAATTGTAAAAATGGCAAGGTATCATTTTTTATGATAAGTGGCATGTAAGCGATAATTAAATAAATTTAATATATAAATTCTAAAAGAATATACGTAACCCATTAACACAATATTATGATAATAACTAGACTGGCGATGCGTTCATGAAAATGCGTTTGAAGAAAAAAACGTCGTTGAATGCAAATCAGCTGGACCCGCCATTTTGGTAAACCCTTATTGCAATTATTTTCATGTTAAAAAACTACTATTAAATTGATGAACTCTCTTCCTTATTATCTCGATGATCAGGCAAAATCTTTAACAAAGTTTGCGTCAGACATAGGAAATAAATTGGCCTCTCGTTTAAAATTTTTAAAATTAATTATATGGGTAACCAAAATGGCGTCCCCAGCTGTTTTTCATTGATGTACACTTTTAATGAATGCATCGTCAGTCTAGGTATATATTATTATATATCATTGATATAACCCAATGACATATATAATACCTAGACTGACGATTCATTCATTAAAAGTGTACATCAATGCAAATCAGCTGGAGACGCCATCTTGGTTACACTAATCATTATTAAAATTTTAAACGAGAGCCTAATTTATTCCTATATCTGATGCAAACTTTATTAAAGAATTACCGGATCATTGAGATAATAAGGAAGCAAGTTATCAATTTAAAAGTACTTTTTTTAACATGAGAATAATTACTATATGTGTTACTAAAATGGCGGGTCCAGCTGATTTGCTTTTAACGACGCTTAAAAATGCATTTTAATGAATGAATCGTCAGTCTAGGTATTATATATGTCATTGATGTATAACCTAAGGATGGTTGTGCAATTGAAAATTTATTGCCTATCTCGTACTGATTTCCGAGAAATAGATTCATGCAGGTTATTTAAATATCAGCACATCTTCGATAAGTTATTTCCAATCAAGAGTGTAATTCAATATGATTTTTTTTTTAAATTTCAACTAAAGAAAATGATTAATAAAAGTTTCGTCACTGCAAATCAGACATTTTGCTACCCGATACAGTTTCAATATTATTTAAACTTATTTTATCAGTTTAATAAGTAGAAAAATTATTTATTCATTATCTTTCCTACGCTTAAAAATTATTATAATATTAAATTTTTATCATCAGACACTAACTAACAAAAAAATCTCAAATATTTTATAACTATTAATTCTTTTTAAAATATAAATTTTCAACCATTACAAAATTAATTATATAAGATTTTATTAATTAAAAATATTTAAAATGAAAAAATAATTTGCCTGTATTTTCTATTCCCAAGCCTATTTCCAAATTTGGATTGGATCTGGCCAAAAGAAGTAAACAATATTTTTTGAGGAAGCTGCTCTGAATATTAAGATTATCTTTGTATTAGTACCAAACAAAAATTCTATTTTATTTTAGGTTCTTTACCACTCAAAATATGAAACATATGGAATGCCAAAACGTTATTTTTTTTTAACTATACTTTTCTGATTTGTTGTTTTGTTTATTAATTACTAATAACCAGGTGTGTGACAATCATTGTTGTTCGACACAATCTGATCTGTTTCGATAAACGATGCAAAATGGCTCCATTTTTTAAAATAAGGCGATCTCATTATTTTATCCAGAAAAAAATATTTCGCAAAAGCCTGAAGATTTTGGTCATAGAATGGCACAACACTTTGGAGATCTCTCGAGACTTGGGCAATATTTTTTTCTCTGGCTACAAATATTGAAGTTAGTCGTTTTACTAAAAATCTGTTCAACTTGGAGCGATTTTCGCGTCACTATGTTTCGAGAATTCCCCCCCCCCCCCCGCAGTTCATCCAAGGATTTTGGGGATCGAAATTAGTATCTTTAAAACGATTTTTATCGCTGTTCCGTTCTGCCATCACGAAGATCCCTTGGAGCATAAAATGATATTATTTCTAAAATATGTAATATTTGCTCCCACTTTTAAATATGCTATTTAAATTTATTTATACGAAAAGCGCATCTATGGGCGTTAAGATATTTCCATAATCGGAATGTATATATTAATAATTTCTTCACTTTTAAACATGTTTTTTTAAATATCCGAAATAAGATTTATAACCAACCTTGCAAATTAAAACATTCATTTTTTTTTGTATTTTATAATGAGACCTATATCTTTATAAATTTACGTTTCTCGTATTTCGTGAAATGTTATGTTTAAAAAAAATTACCTTTTATTTCTCTTTAATATGAATAAAGATATCACATAAACATAGGCGTAGCCAGGGGGGTGGGGTAAGGGGAAATTCCCCCCCCCCCTTCAGAAATATGTCACTTTTTGTAAATATCATTTTAAACTATTAAAAAATGTCTTCCTTAGTTCTCTCTTCACCCCCTGTCCCCCAAAAATGTATGCACATATCTTAAACAATAATTTGAAAGAAAGAATGTGAAAGTTATAATAATGTTTTATACTAAAACTGTTAACTATAATTCATATTTTTTAAAGAGAGGTTTATATACAAAAAAATGTGAAACCAAACAACTTTTTTAAGAAATGAAATATAAGCGATTGATAAGTCTAGACAAAAATGAAATTTTATATAATTACTATTAAAATTCCTTAATAATATAATATCTTAAATATAATTTTTTATAAAATGACATAGGCGTAGCCAGGATTTTCCTAAGGGGGGGGGGGGGAATTAATAAATTTCTGGGGGATTCGCCCCCAGACTCCCTTTAAGCGGGCCTGTGGCCCGCTTTTGCCCGGCCTTCGGCCGGGTTTCCTTAGTCTATATAGTATAATATATATTTACAACATATGTAAATTTTAACAAACTTTTTATTTTAAATATAAGACATTGGTAAAGAGATTATATCAAAAAATAAGCCTGGAACAAATAAGAAATATATTTTTTACTATTTTATATAAAATATAATAAAAGATATGGTAGGGACCAATTTTGAAGTAATTAATGAATTTAAATATTGGTATGCAAACTTAAAAAGAATAGATATTAAACCTGATAATGCAATAAAAGCTCTAACACATTAATAAACTTTCCAAACATTACAAAATTATTTAAAATTTTAGCAAGCCTCCCTATTATGACATGTACTAATGAAAGAACTTTCTCGAATTTATGAAGTTTAAAAATATATTTGCTAAATAAATCAAATATAGCCCTCTTAAATATCCATCGGGAATTAACACCAGTTAATTTTGAAATAATTAATGAATTATCAAGTTAAAAGAAATTAGATCATACAAAAACGTGGTAATAATTTATAATGTTAGATCTAATTTTCTTTTAGAATTTGATAATTCATTAATTATCTCAGAATTAGCTGGTGTTAATTCCCGATGAATATTTAATAGCGCTAAACCATTTAATCGATTTTGCGAGGTAGTATTTCGCAAATATGTTTTTAGTCGTCGTAAATTTGAAAAAGTTCTTTCATTTGTACATGTCGTAATGGAGAGGCATGCTAAAATTTGAAAGAATTTCGTAATGTTCGGAAAGTCTATTAGTGTGTGTTTACAAATATTGAGTGCATTTAGTGCATTATCAGGCTTAATATCCATTCTTTTCAAGTTTGCATACCAATATTTAAATTCAACAATTACTTCCAATTCGCTCCCTACCATATCTTGCAAATAAAAAATATATAATTAGCGAATTTTATTTATAATATCATACGAGATGCTCATAGATGGATTAGAGGATAATAAAATCTGAAAGTTATTGAGTAGTAGCTTATGGTTCAATAAGCGTTCTTTAATTTGAGTTAAAAATGTATCCATAAGTGGTATAAAAAAATTTTGTAATACTCCTCTACCGATTTTGTGGATATATTATTCCTATGTACTTGCCTCGATACAATTCTTGGCATGCTTATTATCATATTATATGAATGCACTTTTTTTGAACCATGTTAAAAATTTTGTTAAATTCACAATCAGCATTTTTTCTTATTTCTAAAATAGTATCATATGCATCTTCTGCTAAGATCAATGCTTGAACCATATCTTGATTTACTTTTTGCAAGGCTCTGCATAATAATATAGTGTGACAGAATAAAGTGTTAATGCAATGTACTGCCAATAAAAACTCTGGATCTTGAATTGCTTTCAATATTCCATTAGCCTCCGCCACCACTGACGTATCGGTCCATTCATGTATTTCCTCTAATGCATTGGGTCTAATAATTCAAGAAAAACTGAAACTCATTGCATTAACACTTTATTCTGTCACACTATATTATTATGCAGAGCCTTGCAAAAAGTTAATCAAGATATGGTTCAAGCATTGATCTTAGCAGAAGATGCATATGATACTATTTTAGAAATAAGAAAAAAATGCTGATTGTGAATTTAACAAAATTTTTAACATGGTTCAAAAAAAAGTGCATTCATATAATATGATAATAAGCATGCCAAGAAATTGTATCGAGGCAAGTACATAGGAATAATATATCTACACAATCGGTAGAGGAGTATTACAAAATTACGATTTTTATACCACTTATGGATACATTTTTAACTCAAATTAAAGAACGCTTATTGAACCATAAGCTACTACTCAATAACTTTCAGATAGAATGGATATTAAGCCTGATAATGCACTAAATGCACTCAATATTTGTAAACACACACTAATAGACTTTCCGAACATTTCTTTCAAATTTTAGCATGCCTCCTCATTACGACATGTACAAATGAAAGAACATTTTCAAATTTACGACGACTAAAAATATATTTGCGAAATACTACCTCGCAAAATCGATTAAATGGTTTAGCGCTATTAAATATTCATCGGGAATTAACACCAGCTAATTCTGAGATAATTAATGAATTATCAAATTCTAAAAGAAAATTAGATCTAACATTATAAATTATTACCACATTTTTGTATGATCTAATTTCTTTTAACTTGATAATTCATTAATTATTTCAAAATTAACTGGTGTTAATTCCCGATGGATATTTAAGAGGGCTATATTTGATCTATTTAGCAAATTTATTTTTAAACTTCATAAATTCGAGAAAGTTCTTTCATTAGTACATGTCATAATAGGGAGGCTTGCTAAAATTTTAAATAATTTTGTAATGTTTGGAAAGTTTATTAATGTGTTAGAGCTTTTATTGCATTATCAGGTTTAATATCTATTCTTTTTAAGTTTGCATACCAATATTTAAATTCATTAATTACTTCAAAATTGGTCCCTACCATATCTTTTATTATTCCCCCCCCCTTAGGAAAAATCCTGGCTACGCCTATGCACATAAATAAGTCGTTATAAAAGAAAAATTATTTATAAATTTCTTAAAGTGATAAAGCTTTGATCATATTAAAATCCAACATTTAAAAAAAAATAATATCTGATTGACTTTTGCAATATATATGTTAGTGGCAATGTGTTATTTTTTCAAATATTAAATCATATTTTGATCGCGACCAGAAATGTAATGCCGTCATGTTTGGAATACCTACCCTAAGAAATTCAGATTTTCAAGAACTTTTGAACATAAATTTTTCCATAGATTTTCAATATAAATTAATAAATAACTCAAAATTTAACGGTAAAATTATTTTACGATTCATAGGATGGTAAACATGCTGGAATTCATTTCCGGTAGAATCAGATTCTTAAATTAATTTTCTAATAAACGCGCTAAAAAAAATGTTTTTAAAGTTGAAAAAAAAATAGCACATTGTCCCTAACATATATAATTATAACGCACCCCTTTATTGATGTTCATGCAATCTCGTTGCCAGAATACAGTAACTTTTAATACTCAATTTTCTTTATATTATTAATGTAATTTAGGAAATTTTGCTTCACTTCATTTTATACACCTTTTGTTTTAAAAAAAATACACATATCAAAAAAATTATGATACATTTAAGCACGCTTTACCCTTGCCCGGATTTATTTTCGTCTACGAAGATCTTTTATATTACATCAAAGAATATAATCGTTCAGGTATGCATATATATATATAATTAATTAGAAATAAAACGTATAAGGCAGAAATAAGGATTATGTAAAAGTGATAATAATTAAAGATATAACATATAACCCGCCAGTTCCCTTGATCGTTTTGACTTGAAGCCTTTGCTTCAAATGGTAGAAATCCGGGGGGATTGTTCTTTAGACTGCTTACTTTCTTCCCGATAGGCGAAAGGCAGGGCAGCCATATGGCCTAAGGTGCTAGGGTTGTTAAAAGGCTCGTTTTGCTTCGATTTTTTTAAAAAAGACTTAATTAAGATTTTAGCCAAAATAATATTATGTAAGCCTGGTGATTTTGCTTGTAGATGAGGGAAAGGTTTGGACCTCTTTTTGCCAAATTTCGAGGTTTCACATAATATCATTTTCGCTAAAATTTTAATAGGTCCTTTTTTTATCGACCCCAATCGGGCTTCTTTAACAACCCTAGCCATTAATATTAAATATAACGGGGATGAAAAGACAATTTTGACATTTTACATATCAATGACATTATGATAATACCTAGGCTGACGATGCATTCATAATAATGCCTTTGAAAGCGTGGTTGAACGCAAATCAGCTGGTCCGGTTATTTTGGTATTCTCATTTTAAAAACTACTATTAAATTTGATAACTTGCTTCCTTACATTATCTCTATGATCAGGCAAATTCTTTAATAAAGTTTGCGTCGGACATATGAATATATTGGCCTCTCCTTTAAAATTATGGGTAACCAAAAATGGCATCCCCACCTGTTTTTCATTGATGTACACTTTTAATGAATGTATCGTCAATCTAGGTAAAAAAAAATGGTTATTTACTATATTATTTTTTTTCTTCCTTTTCCCACAGAAACGATTGGCACGATTGGCCCTTTGCATATCTCGACCATGTGGCTTTACTTATTGGGAAACGTTGTGACTCAATATCCTTTTTATTCTAATTTTAACGTCATGGTGTTTTATTAAAGAAGATGGCAAAGTATAAAGGAGGGGGGGGGGAATAATTGTATTACACAGCGATATCTAGATTCTTTAGAGTCAAGCCAGATAGTCCAAAAAAAACTTTTGGTCTGGTCCGATATTACAATAAAAATTGAATTGGGAATTGTAGTGGATCCTCAAAGATTTTTTTTGGGCAAAATCCATGAGGATAATTTTTTTTTTTCAAACTCTGTTTAAAAAAAAAGGATTTTTTGGTATTTTAGATAAAATCTGATCAAAAATCTTGCTTGAGCATTCTCAAAAAATCTTCAATCTTTGAGATTTTTATTTTATTTTGAGGAGTACTGGTTTATTTTGTTCCCTTAATATTTGATATTTAATTCGATTTAAAATATTCAAATCAATCGTTAAAATGTAAGAAAAAGGAGAGAATTTTTATTTAATACAATTTTTATGATGAATATCATTATTCAGAAGAAGAAAAAATTAAACATTTCTTTAAATTTGTCTCGTTCCTCTGGTTCCCATCTGTTTATTTTTAAATTTTAATTTTTCAATTAAGAAAGAAAGAATGGGAAAATATAAATTATTAATGATTTTAGAACTGAGCCAATATTTTATTTACCATTTTCCAATTGGATTTCCTGCCGATCTTGCAGGACTCTAATATCTATTGTTTTAACTGATTCGAAGAGAAGTATTAATTTAAAAAAAACCGGCAATAGATAGAAAGTTAAAAAATACCCAAATTTTACCCTTTTTAGAATTATTTTTTGTTTTTTCTTAACTCTTCACGTTTTCCATCCGGAATCTTTTTTTTAAATATTTTTTTCGCGGGAAAAAAAACGTACATCTGCATCAGAAGCGTTTTTTGGATGACGAGCGTTTATTCGTCCCTAACTGTCACGCTAACGTTAACGCTTAGGAAATTTTTGAGCCTATTCATATCCATAATTTATTTTTCGACGACGTTCACCCTTACCCATTCAATCGGCATCGGTCTCGTACTAACGGGGACCTGTCTATTTTACGAGTTATTTCCCAATATGACGTCATCGTCCAAAAATGAAATCGCTATTACGTACGATGGTACCCACGACAATTCAAACGCGACTCTATCAGGTAAGAAAATTAAGACGCATTGAATCTGCCATTTTTTTTAAAAAATAATTTGATTAGTGTTATAAACTTTAATAAAATTATAAATATTTTTAAATTTTTTTTTAATAAATCGTCAAAAATTCTTGTTCATCATTTTGTTTTTAACCCAGCGCAATAGAAATTTTACCGTTTTTTTTGTAATTTATGATAACTTTTTTTTAACAAAAAATACCAAAGATAATTTTTTTTTAATGAAATTAAGATAGTTTTTTTAGAATATTTTTTTAGAAATTATCTCAAATCTTACATGCAATATTTTTGTAATATTATATAGACAATCTTTTGTTTTATACCCATTATATTTATTATTATATTTAGTGCTATTTATTTTATCACAAATTTTTTTTGGGGGTTAATTATTATAGTCATAATCATAACTTATAGTATAAATATTGTTAAATCCTTATAAACGAATATATAAAATAAAGTTGTTGAAATGATCTAGGTTTAGTGAACCATTTTCTTGTCATCATATCTTTCATTGTTTTTTGAATCTGGGTTGGAGTTCAAAATTTCAAAAATAAAAATGGCGGATATTTTTGATTTTGGACCAAGCAGGAACATATTTTCGACAACCATTAACCATTTAACCCCGGCGTATTTTGGGACCAGGGCAACTATATAAGTGTAGTGATTAAAGTCCTTCAAAAATATAGTTAAGAATTCATGAATCAAAGGTCTAGAACCCTCCATTTTTACTAGCTTAGAAATTCTCATTTGCAGAATATGAACCAGCCAGGAGTCAGTTAGCGAAAATTTTTTTAATATTAAAATTTAAAATGCTCCCCCCCCCCACTTCGGCGTATTTAAAACGATAAATTTTGCTCCCAATATTTCTTACGCAATTAAAAATTATTCACTCTTCTTTTGCCAGGTGAAATTTTGAAATGATTTAACAATTGATATATTTCTATCAGTCAAATCGTAGCCGAAACTGATGACCGAATGCGAGAAACGAATAGAAAAATGATTTTTATTTTTTTTATTAAATCTTTATAGTTTTCATTATTAATTTTTTTTCAACTCGAGAAGTTTCTCGACCCGGTTTATTTGAGCGATTTAAATTGTTAAATATGTCTAGGCGTGAGTGTTGTTAAAAAACCCTACGATTAAGATTTTAGCTATAATAATGTTATGTGAGCATCCAGTATTGGCAAATAGATTGTGCAAGCAATTCCGCCAGCTAGTGTTGTTAAGCCTGCTCGTTTTGAGCCGATTTTCAAAAACGGGTAACTCGATATTTTAACCAGAAAAATATCGTCTAAGCCTCGAGATTTCGTTAATAAATACCCAAACCTTTGTTCCTTCTACAAACAAAATCTTCAGGCTTGCGTAATACTATCCTGGATGAAATATTGAGTTAGCCGTTTTTAAAAATTCGGCTCAAAACGGGCCGTTTAACAACACCACTGCCAGCTATGAGCAAAATCTTTATAGGCTAGCATAGGACTTTTTAACAATACTATCTAGGCGCAATGCTAATAGTATCTTTTTTTTCTTTTCTTTAATCATATCATAACTTATTTTTTCCCTAAAATTTATTTACGAAACATAGGGGTGGAAAAAAATAAATATATTTTATAAAAACAAAATCTAAATATTGATACAAGTCGGCCTTGGAAAAAATAAATGAAAACGACATGATCGAATAACACTCTAGATAAATTTTTTTAAAACATATCAATAATTTAAATTTCTTTAAATCACGGGTAATTTATTTTTATAGAGCGTTTTATTCGAAATAGCTTTTATTTTTTCTTCTTAAAAATGTACAAACTTATTTGATTTGGCTAAAAACAAAATAAAAACATGGCACACTTTTGTTAGAAATAAATTTCTTAAATATATATATCTGAATTGGGATAATATTACTCATATTTCAAATATATTTTATATTTGAAAAATAAAATTAGTCAAATAAATATTTTAAAAATATAAAAGTTTTAAACGTACAAAGATGGGTAGTTTGAAACTGATAATTACTCTCTTATCATTATTATGCTTATGCTTGTTGAATAAATTTAATCTCCTTGAGGGTCAAATTCTGCTATTACCTCAAATTAGATTTTCTAATTATTTGTCCGACTTTACTGCCATCAAGCAGACCCTGAATTACTTATTTTCTCCTTTTAATTTGGAACTGGCTTTGAGTGTATTAAACGTCGGAACGAAGCGGTGCGATGTGCGAATATATGGCCTAACCGACAAATCGGATTACAGCGAAATTCGGAGGGTGATGGGGCTTCTAAGGGAAATAAAACGAGACGGAAATTTAACCCTAAACATCAATAACGACTTGTACGCCAAATCCGATGTCCAATTAAATGAAGCGTATGCACGGGTTGTCAAAGATGTTTTCGGAGCCTTTGTAGGATCCGTAGACTTTAGATTTAACTTGGAAAGTGTCATCGGTACGATTAACCAAAGAATATCCGATAACACGAATGGATTGATAAAAGATTTCGTAAAAACTGACCAAGTAGATCCCTACATCGTTCTTATGTCAGTGAATTCTCTCTATTTCAAAGGCACTTGGAAGGAACCTTTTAATAAGTATTTATGTATGTATATATATGTATTACTTGAAAATAAAATATATTTATAATTTTTAAGGTTTGATATAGGTATGAAATCTTAATTTTTTTGCTCAAAATTTGTAAATAAGGATATAGAGTTATCTTAGTATAATATACTACGTGTAAGGGGGGTTAATGATCCTGCATAGCATCCTCTAAAATGTGGCATTGTATATAGAAATAAAACTGTCATCTTTTTAATGGCTTTAGTTCGAATAGAAATGTTGTCATAGAAACTCGGTCTTTAAAATTAAATTTGTATCAATAAAAATTATTCTTTTCTGGAAGTTATTCGTGTATAATCATATACAGGGCTTCTAATTCAAAAAAAGAAAAGTTCCAATCAAAAACAGGCAAAAGTTTCAATCATAAGATGAAAGAATTTTATCCAAAAAGAAAATTTCAATCATAAGATGAAAGAATCTTATCTAAAAAGGAAAAAATTCAATCAAAATATGAAAATTACTCAAAACTTTGGAAAAGTTACCCATCAAAAAGGAGGGAAAGGTCCGACAAAGAGGGAAAAGTTCTACAAGATAAGGATAATATATCAAAAAAGCTACTTTATAGATTTGCTGAGATTACTTTATTTTCAAGTATCGTAATAAGATTATGGGTGGAAAAAAATGGAAAAAGAATAAATTTTTTTAGAGAATTGAGATGAATAGGGGAAATAGAAGAAATCATTTTTAAAAAATAGGGGAATTAAGAAATTTGAGAAAGAAAATATTAATGGTTTAAAAATTTAAGTTAGATAGTAAAAAATTAGAAAGAAAGAAAATATTAAATAACCAAAAATCTTTTTTTTTAAAAAATGTCATAATATGACATTTCAGGTTTAATTAATAAAACAATAAAAAATAAAGTTTACAAAAATAAATGCCAATATTTTTTTGAATGCAAATTTTACTTTTTTAAATTAAAATTTTTCCTTTTTTGATTGACACTTTTTTTACTTTTTTGATCGGGATTTTTCCCATTTCGATCTAAACTTTTTTCCGAGTCTTTTAGCTTACTTTTTTTATAGCACTTTTGTACTATTATGATTGAGACCTTTCCATTTTTTATTCGGGTACTTTTTCCTTGTTTTGTATTTTTTTTAAAAAAAAAAAAATTTATACACATAAATTATAACAATTTAGAGATATGGAAAAGTTCACATTTTTTGGTGAATCTGGCTCTAAAAGTATCGATATGCTGAAAGGCGAGGATATGAAGCTATTAGTGAATAAGAACGATTTATTAAAGGCAAAAATCATTGTTAAAGATTTTTACAGAGAAGATTTCAAGCTAATTTTGCTAATACCCATTAATAAAACAATACAATTGTCGCTAGTTGAGACAAATCTGATCAAGTACCCACAGGGCCTTTTTGATGGAATAGCTAACGCGCGAGAAATTGTCTCTAACCTTTACATTCCGAAGATTGACGAAGAGTTCGAGATCTCGATATTAGATATGCTATCGGAAGAACTTAAATGCTGGAGAGAGTGAAAAACTATTATGAAAAAAAAATAATTTATATTGATATTATCTAGTGTTGTTAAACGGCTCTTATTTGAAGCGATTTTTAAAAACGGCTAAATCAATTTTGTAGCCAGAAAAATGTATGCCTAAGCCTCGAGATTTCGCTAATAGGTGTCCAAACCTTTGTGCCATCTATGAGCGAAATTCTCATTGCTTACGTGTAATATTTTTTTTTGGATAAAACATTGAGTTAGCCCTCTTTAAAAACTGGCTCAAGTGCTTAGCAACACTAGATATAATCTATCCTATATTCATTCTTTTTTTTGTATCTCGTGGGAATAAAATATTGATGGATTATTAATATAATGATAGAATTAATCCTAAGATAAAAGAGAACGTACTGGCCGGGCCTAATATTTTTTAAGAAAATTCGGGTCGGGCCTAAAGTTATTTGGTTGCTCGATTCAGATCTCTATTTTATACCCATTTTACTGAAATTGATAAGGTGAAATTATAATTTAATTTATCTGAATAAATTTGTATGAAATTTTTTTTTATTAAGCTATGGTATCGATAATATTGTAGAAGGTTCAGAATTGACCGTTAGCAGGATAAACCATAAAGTTAAATTGGAAATTACTGCCGAAGGCTCTGAAGGTGCTGCTGTCGTGGAATCCGACTTTGGTTACAGAAGTTTTCCAGATCAAATTACCATGAATAGGCCTTTCTTATATTTTATCGTCCATAAAGATGGCCCCATATTATTCAGGGGTCGATTCGCGTCCCCTTTTTATTATTAGAGGAAAAAAGTGTTTTATTTACCGTACTGATTTATAAGATTTTATGGGGGTTTTTTTTTTTCGAGGAAAAAAATATTATATTTGTACACGTATAATCAATTATTTTCTTTTATTTTTAAATTGTGAGGCCCTGTCCTTGGGCCATCTTATTTATAAAATTTATATTTCTGTTTTGCCCTGGCTAAGCAGATTTTGAACTAGCGACACCCATTTCTTGGATTGTTTTATAAATATGTATATGTTATTTGTAAATCTACAAAGACGCTTTTACCCTTTATGCAAATCTAAATTGCCTCTTTCTCTTTAGGCTGTTTAGAGAAAGCTATATAGCCGGCTAAACAGATTACTGTTTAGAAATTAGACTAACCAGGCACTATGCATCATAAATATTATTTTTTATTGTTATTGAAAGTTACTAAATTTTAGAAAATTATAAATAGAAGATATATTTATTATTTGATTATATTTTACAAAATATGTTTAATTAGAGAATTGATGTTTTCTTTCTTATATAATTATATACAATTACTAGCAGATAGTCCGTCAAAGAATAACTGTGAATCAGAAATTTCCCTTTTTTATTTTATGAGGTATGAATAAGAAATTTCCCGTTTTTTTTATTTGATGTAGTAGGGTAGGAAAATACATATTCAATACTTTCAACTATGCTGAAATTATTTAGGGAAATATATGTGAATCATATTATTTCTAAGATATCATTTTCATAATGACTCGAAAAAATTTATTTACATCTAAATAAATATATTTGCAACTAAATTTTCATTTTAAATATTTGTATTTATAATTTATCTATCTTGTCAGGTTTGGGCAGTATGGTAAATACAATTACTTTCTTGCATTTGTATTTAGTATTTATTTGAATATTTAAGAAAGTATTTAGTATCTGTTATTTTAAACGAAAAATAAAAATGTATTTTGTATCTATTATGATTTCAAACGAAAACGAAGGTATGAAATTTTTTTTTGAAGATGGGGAAGATATACCAATTGAGGAAAAAAAAGTTTCTTTATTAAACTATTATGTATATAAGATATTTTTGCATTAATTATGTGACAACATCAACATTCTCTAAATGTAATTTGACAATTTTAGGTGGTAATTATTTTTTAGATATCAAAAATTCAATAATACAGTGAAAGCTTAATGTAATATATGTGCTCAACTAAAAATAAAACTAAAATCAACAATTTATATTTGCAACTATTATATAATTGCGACAATAGATATATTATATATAATGTTTACCTATTACACTGTACATAACCGATAAATATAGAGAAAATGGTTGATAATAAAAAAAATAACCTAGCAAAAAAAGTATTCTGGAGAAGTATCTATTTGTGTAAAATATTTTCGTTCAAAAGTATTTGTATTTAGAAATACCTTTTTTTTGTAAATATTTTGATAGGTATTTAAGTATTCATATTTAAAATACATTTGTTTTTGAATTTGTATTACAAATTTGTCCAACCCTGACCCTTGCTAGGTTGAGGATTTTGTTTATATTATGTTGCCATATAAAATCCACACCAACATGCGAAATTATCTATCACTTTAAATTACTGCGATGTTGCAAAAAAAATTGCAGAATTATAGGCACATTGAATTCTGGCTAAAAAAATGACAATTTAAAAAGCCTTACCAGTCATAAATTTTTTAAAAAAATTACATTAAATCATATTAATTATTAGCCCCCTGTATCGGACCTATTTTTTTAGGTCTCCAATCTTAAAAATATATAAATTTCGATTTCGATTCTGGCATTTTTTTTCCTCCCAAAGATCGGAAGTCAAAAATTTTGGTTTAGAAATAGGGTACAAGTTTGCTCCGAATTTTATTTATTCGATATTGAAAAGAAAAATTATAAGTAAACTTTTAATGGCAATAAGCAAATTTTATGGTTATTGAAATGTTAATTTTCATAAATAAATATTAAAAAAAACAAAATAAATAAATGAAATAATTTTTTCTATTTTCCAATCCAAATCAATCCGAAATTAATTTTAAAATCGAGGGTCGAATCAGAGAGAAATTTGAGAATAGCCATAAATGGTTGAGCCAAATAATTTCCCAAAAAAAAGTCCAGGTTAAGCTTGAAAATGTTTTTCAAATTGAAGTTCCCATTTTTTTTCTATTTTAAACAATTTTAAAAAAAGTCCCATATTCTGGAATATTCCTTCCGCTACTCAAATGACATTGTTCTCTTAAGAATATTAGCTTCCAATATTTCAATGAACGACATTGCTTATATATCAGCAAACCTTTCTGAACATTGAAAACCTAAAAATTGTGAATATATATTATTTCATAAATATATTATTCCATTAAAAAGAATTTTTGAAAATATTTGGAAATAGAAAGATATTATTAACATTGTTTTCCACACTTGCTTATATTTATCATTTAAGATATTTTGAAGAATAATTAAAAATTTGTAATAAGAAAAAATTAAATACAATATAAAATTCTAACTCAATCAAACACCTTAACTATAACAATTGGTTAAGGTTAGCTTTCCAATTCATAACTAACATATAGGTCTATCACTTTTTAGGTGCGGTCTGGCATAGTAGGAGGCCATTCATGTTTTACTGGGTTTTCTTCCCCATTAAATATTGATCTTATCAACTGAAATTTAGAGATTCATATTGGCACATCTCATTTCTTAATATACTATTAGCATAATCGGTCCCAAATTTTAGTGCTTTTTAAAATCAATAAGTCAAAAATTATTAATCTATAAAAATAAAAATTATGACTTTCCTGCCACCATTCCAAATTACATTATACCATTATGATTACTAAATCATATATAACCATTTTTACCTATTTCTACGTAAAAGAATTGAAAGTTTAAAAAATAAGAAATTGGCAATTATAAAACTTTCACTACTAAAGCATATTTCAAAAATTGATCTTTAAACCTATTTTCATTAAAATAATTAAAATATTTTAAAATGACGATATGATTGTCATATTTATAGATAAAAAAATAAAATAACATTTTAGCTAAGGCTTGATTAAACAGATCAAATACACCTAAACTTTAGCCAAAAAAATTGCCTAAGACTCAGCTACATGGGCAAAAGGTGAAAAAAAATATACTCGAATAAAATAAAAATACTTCTCAAAAAACAAATATATTAAGTTGACCTTAAATTAATAACATGAATTTTCAAATTTTAACCTTCCTCACACCCCAAAATGAAAGTTCGCATGAGCTCCTTCATAGCGTTCAGGTGGTTTTCCAGTATTAATTCTCTGAAGCACATCTAATTTAATATCTCCACAATCATACCATAAAATATATCTTTCTTTTCATCACTTCTGTCAACTGGTAAGCTATACAATTTCGCAACACTGAGTATTGGTTTACTAATGATATTTTATAAAATTATGGTTGCCACAATCTTTTGGAATATCCTTTTCATCTACTCAATTTTCAACAAGTAGCAAACCAGTAATAGAATTTACTCTGCCAGAAAAACTTTGCATTAGTCCACTAATCATATTCACGCCTTTCATTTCCATTTGGTCTTTTTATTTGCTCTCTTTCTGGTCATAGCTTCTACCACTTTGCCCCAGAACAAGGACTCCACAAGACGACCCTTGCACTTCACTACCTGGATTGTAATGTAGCACTTTCATGATAAATATTGCTTTCATGAGATGGCCCGGTTTTCTGGCATTCTTTTTGCATGAGCTTATCACTCTATCTAACTTTTCCGGCCTATTTGTAAATAGATAAATCTTATTGCTTTTTTAAAGCTCAAATAAACAAGTGAGACGGAGCTCCAAATTTTGGGGTCGCATATTTTACCACAAAAATATAAACCGTATTTTCCAAGAGTTAAATACTTAAGCATTGAATATTTTTTAAAAAAACCGATGATTGCTAAACAATTTAAAAGGAGATGGAAAAGTTTGATTAAGGAAGTCATTCATATTCGTATGTATTACCCGCGAACATAATGATAAATTATTTTTAGAAAAAAATTATACTAGAAAAAAATAAGTTTCTTTGAACGGATCGATAATATCACTTGTATATAAATTCAGTAAGGAAATTTTTTAAATATCGTAGAGCTAGAGTCAGAAAATATTTTCTATAAGTCTCGATATTTCGCTAATGGAAGTCGAAAACTTTGTGCCATCTATGACCAAAATCTTTAGGGTTGGTTAATATTATTCTGGATAAAATATTAAGTTTGCCGTATTTAAGAATCGGCACAAATCGAGCCGTTTAACATCACTACTACGCAGAATCTCATTACCAGAGTTGTTAAAGGATCTAGATACAAGTATATATATAAAAATGTGGTATCTGTATCTAGATAGATTTTTGAATAAAATATCGGTATCTAGATATTATTTTATACGATATATCTGTATCTAGATCCATTTAAAAAGTATCTTTTAACAACTCTGCTCATTACTAACCCGTTTATCCATCTTTCTTAAAACTTGACTAAAGAGGCAGAAAAATTTAAAACAATAAAGATAGATGGAAATTTTAAAATAACCATTGAAATACGGCATTTTATATTAGACATTAGGGCGATTTAGTAGGCACTAAATATTAATGCAACCCAGCAGATACAACTTTTATATTCTCCCTTCTGGAATTCTGCTAATTTTGATTTTTTTTTTACCAATAATTCTATTAATGAATAAAATGTTCCTTATAAAGCCTTATTTAATGGTTTGGTAATAAGTTTCAGATTTTTCTATGAAACTTGGCTAACTTCGCGTTCAAAGCGTGACGTAGCAGTTTTCATTTTGTTTATAACTCACTTTCTTTTTGTGGTTATACATTTGAGTAAAGAATTAATGCTACTAGTCAGGCACCCAGATACATAGTTTATTTTTTA